CCAAAAAGTCTCTAAAAGCATATTTCCACTAATGCCATATATGGAAAAATCATGCACATTATGCATATATAATGCTGCTTCACAGTTTAGACAAAAATGGTTAGCTCATGCATTTACATTCCTGCATACATCAACGCAAGCAACACAACATAGAGCTAATTTACACAACATCACCTTGCAATTCATGCAGGGCTTTGCACAACACACCTGCTGGGTGTGTACACACTACAAAGGTGTTTAGATTCCACCCATAGATCATGCTGGGAGGGAACACACTACAGAGGTGTATACATGTTCGTGGTGTGTTTATAAGGTTAGTAAATCAACCCATCTGTGTCTGGAGTCGCACCAAGTAAAATTCAGCAAAGCTTGTTGGAGAAGTTTGAGATCTGCCCTTGGAACTTTGATCGGTATTGTCTCAAGTAGTAGAGAAGTTGGGCAGTAGCATAATTTTGATCAGAGCTATTCTTCCCATCCATGACAGGCGTTATGACATCCACCCCCTGAAGGTGGACCCTGAGCTCCCAATTACAATTGTTGGATCCTTGGGATACCTAGTCTTGGTGAATCTTGGTGAATATTTTTTAGATCTGAGTTCAAAAGACCTATAAGTCTATAGGTAGTACAGCTAGTGTGGTCTAGGGAGTTTAGGTAGAATGATTATATGTGATGTAAGCATGGAAGATGGGATCTGAGAGAACTGCAGGAAATCATTGTATCATTCAAGTAGATAAGGGGTTAGGGTGCCCTGAAACATTCTGTAACATAGCTTTGGCAGACCATCAGGTCCCGGGAGCTTACCATTAGGTAGGTTTTTAATCAACTCCTCAGTCAAGTATTAGGTGTGGTCCAGGTTTTTCCTAGAAATCTGTGGTAGGGAGCAATCTGGGAGATAGCAGTTAATTTGAGAAGCGAGGGTATGGTTATCTGCAATAAAGGTCGAATCACGAAGATTGTAGAGGTGGGTATAATAGTCATGGAAATGGACAATATTTTCTGGAGATGAAAGTATCCAACTTAAGTTTGCGGGCTAAGAGTGTGTGCGTTTTGTTGCCCCTCTCAAAGAATTGCTGACTGTTATATAGCATGGATTTTTCCACTGCTGGCATATCCAGGTTTTGCAATTGCGATCTAAAACATGATGCGATGAAGCGCAACTAAAGCGGGCTGTTGTGATAGCTTATCTTCAGCCGAAGTAAGTTGAGGGTGGGAGCTGCGGCCGCTCTTTAGATTCAAAATTCAGTTTATGTGCCGCTACCCCGAAAGTAAGACCTAGCGGATTTCTGTAATATAAGACCTACCACCGAACTAGGTCTTATTTTCAGGGTAGGTCTTATATTACAGAAATCCCCGAAGATAGCGCTAGGTCTTACTTTCGGGGTAGGTCTTACTTTCGGGGAAACACGGTATACTGTAAGACCGATCCCACGTTGAGGGAGAAGAATAGCAATAGAAAGTCTTTGAATTGTGATTCTGTCATCTCATCTCTAAGAAGCCATTCATTCTCAAACTTTTTTTTTAACACCCCCACCCTCATCAATGAGTAACAATGTAAAAATAATAACTTACCAGCTGAGATCTGCACATCTGTCACAAATCTCTCTGGACGGGGAAATTTCTTAGGAATTGCAGCTAGATCAGTAACAGCTGCCATAATCTCGTCCCACAGAGACATCAAAGCTTCTGGATCTTCTAGTGAGCGGATGGCTTCAGAGGGTACAGTAAGAATGATGTTTTCTGTAATAAGCTCAGCCCAAGGAGCCGGATAGTTACGAATTGTTTGCTGCCATGAAGATAGGCTAGTCTGACCTAAACAAGAATACAAAAGAGCTTATGCTACTATTTTATTTTACAAGCTTTCAAAGTAATAGTCTATTTAAATGTAACTGTAATTTATCAGAGTATAAAATGTAATAAAACATTCTTAATGGAATTTGGTGGCTTATGTTTGACAAATACCCAAATTGCTAGCATGCTAATAGCCTACCACCATGGAAATGTTCCAAGTTCAGTAATATTTATCTGACATACTTATTTGACATCAGGAATGTACACATTTCTGTTGCCTGTCAGTGGATTTCATTTTTTTGGCTTGTTTATACTTTTTAAATTTGTAATTTATTTTTTTTGTAAATTTCCCTGGTAAAGCAAACATATGCAATGTGATAGGCTGCACACACTTCCCCAAATCTTCCTTCCATGGTTTCAATTATATCAGAGAGGCAGTGTGTAGGCTCTTGAGAGCTTTTTGTGTTTTTTACCCCGTCAGTAGTGAATGGCGCAAGAGCTAGTAAGGTGGCCTACAAACCATTTCTCTAATCCAGGGGTAGCCAAACTCCGGCCCTCCAGCTGGTGAAACTACAAATCCCATGATGCATGTCTCTCTGGGAGTCATGTCTGTGGCTGTGAGAATCTTGCAATGCCTCTTGGGATTTGTAGTTCCACCACAGCTGGAGGGCCCTCTAATCCATCCAGGTGCAGAGCATCCACTAGCTTGCAAGTGCTTCTAATACGCCCATTCCCTCCACCCTCCCAGATGTTCATATCAGCCATTTCTATGGTCTACTAATGCAGTCTTTTCCTCCTCCTCCTCCTCTAGGGCACACACCAGACATGTTTTTTGGCTTGTTGATGTACCCTTCTCCCCAGTCTTTCAAAAAATAATGATAATAATAAGCAAAAATGTATATTTATGTATAACATCAAGGTCTTTATAGACATTCATAACTAATGATAAGCAAGATTCTACAAACAGGCAAAGCCTTCCCTCTTTTATCATTTGTAATGTTTTGAAAGACACCATAGCCTTCCAAATACAATATCTAATCATGACTTTATTGAGCGACATTTCTGTTATCACTCCTGAGCTTTTATGCCCTCTTTATATTAACAAAATCACTGCAAAAGTCCACTTTTATGGACAGAATGCAAGACTGTCTGTACTCAGTATATTCCTATTTCCTATACTTACCCTTAATAAATGTTGGAGCAGGTTCTGCTCCATACACTGTAACTGGAATCAGACCCAACTGGCTTTTTGCTTTAACAATAATATATACAAGACCTCCCCATACACAGGACATTTTCACTTTTTCTCCAAGAACATCTTTCTTATGTACAACCACAGGAGCACGACAGAACTCCTTTGCTGCACTCAAGTTATCTGAGTGGCAGCCAATCTGAACCTGAAAAAATAGTAAAAGAAATGTGTAAGTTAAATGTGTACAGGAGAGCCATTTAAAATGTAATGACATATTACATTTGTGTTGCTCATCAAAATAAGCAATTTGCATAGAAATAACCACATTTTACCCA